GTCCATGGCGGATCTGACCTTGATCCGGCGGCAGTGGTGGTGGATCTGTGCCAGCTAGGCCTCCTCCTCTCTCCTCCTCCTCCCAGATCTGCTTTCTAGGGCTTCGGCGAGCTCTCCCTATCATCTCTTCCAACTCCGGCGAGCTATAGAATGGCCGGCCAGGGGGACGCAGGTAGGCCGGATGATGGGGATGGTCGACGGGCGGTTTAGAGGAGCTGGCGGCGGTAGGGGCGGCCGGGCCAAATCGGGCCGGCGGAGCTCCGACCATGGTGGTGGCGGCGCGCGGGGGGGGGGGGTGGGGGGGGGTGGGGGGGGAGGGAGGAAGAAGATGGTGCCACGAGCGAGCTAGGGGTTCGCAGCGTGGGCGGGGGAACTCACACGCTAGCAACGTCCGTTTTTTTTAATGCAGATTCTTAGTCTCCTGTGCTAACCAAACATCACCTTATTTTTGGGCTAGCATTGATTCTCTTTCGGAATTCTGCGGAATTGCAAATATCAGCACGAAGAAGCCCTCCAATGCTAACCAAACGTTACTTTATTTTCGGGCTATACATTCTGGGGAATTGCAAATATCAGCACGAAGAAGCCGTGGGCCGTGCTTGGGACTGCTCGTTGCGTGTCATTGTGAGCAGTGTCCACCACTCCGCCCACCCGCATCCAGACCAGACAGCCACCCACACGCCCGCGGCGCTCACGCCGCTCGGACACCCGCAATCTGACCGGAGAGAGAGAGAGAGAGAGAGAGAGACGGAGAAGAAAGGGTAAAGGGGACCAGGCGACCAGCCGGCCCTCGGCAATGGGGTCCTCCTCCTCCTCCTCCTCCGCCGCAGATCGATCGTCTCCTCTCGCAATTTCCCATCACCTCCAAACCCGACCCCGACGGCCCAATCCCTGCGCAAACCCCCGACCACGTCGCAGCACGGTCGGCGCTGATGCTCGCGCTCACCCCGGAGCTCTGCAACGTTCTCCACCGGGAGCTCGCTCCTTCTCCCGACGACGATCCCTTCTTCGCTCGCTGCCTTCGCCAATCCCAGCTCCGCCTCGAAGTCCTCGCCGCCAGTCTCAGGCCCCCCTCTTCCTCCGCCGCCGCCGCACCTCTTGCACGAGTCCTTCCTCCGCCTCCTTCTCTTCCCCCTCAGCAGGAGCTGCAGGTGCGGCTGCCACAAGAACCAGGCGCAGGCGGCGGATCCAACCCCTCCGGCTCCAAGAAGCGCGCGCGCGCCGCCACTGAGGTGGTGCGCGCCACCCACCTCAGCCCGGCGGACCATCTCCGCTACCGCGCTCTCGTCCGCCGCGCGCGCCTCACCTTCGAGGCGCTCCGCAGCAGCTACCAGCGCCAGGAGACCTCTAGCGGCCTCCGCAACCGCCATGACCTCCGCGCCTCCAGCCAGATGCTCTCCGCCGGCCACTGGCTCCACCGCGAGGTCCGCATCGTTGGCGACATCCCCGGCGTCCTCGTCGGCGACGCCTTCTACTACCGCGCCGAGATCTGCGTCGTCGGCCTCCACACCGCGCCTCAGGCCGGCATCGGCTACATCCCCGGCAGCCTCCTCGACGAGGGCCACCCCGTCGCCACCAGCATCGTCTCCTCTGGAGGGTACCTTGACGACGAGGACACCGGCGATGTCCTGGTCTACACCGGCAGCGGCGGCCGCCAGCGCAACCGCGTCGACCACCACGCCGACCAGACGCTCGAGCGCGGCAACCTCGCGCTCCACAACAGCTACCTCTACGGCGTGGAGGTGCGCGTCATCCGGGGCCACGACATCGACCAAGGTCCCCACCGCAAGGTCTATGTCTACGACGGCCTCTACAGGGTCATTAGCTCCACCTTCGGCCCCGGCAAGTCCGGCCACGACGTCTGCAAGTTCAAGCTTGTGCGTCTCCCCGGCCAGGACGACCTAGCCAGCAAGACCTGGCACACCGCCAAGCTGCTCAAGGAGTCCATGGACGCCAGAATCCGCCCGCCAAGGTACATCTCCCTGGACCTCTCCAAGGGGGCGGAGGTCCTTCGCGTCCCTGTCTGCAACAAGCTGGACGACGACAGGTCTCCCCTGCTATTTGACTACATTGTCCACCCTGAGTTTCCAGTGCCGCCAGCGCACGCGCCAGTCAAGCAGCACAGGGGCTGCTACTGCGCGACGGGCTGTGGCTCCAAGTGCAGATGTGAGAGGAAGAACGGCGGGGTGCCAGTGTATACTGAGGATGAGACTCTGGTGATGGGAAGGCCGGTGGTGTATGAATGCGGTGCTCTGTGTGGGTGCCCCATGACCTGCGTGAACCGTGTGACGCAGCGAGGGATGAAGCACCGGCTGGAGGTGTTCCGCTCCAATGAGACAGGCTGGGGTGTCAGGGCGCTTGACTTGATACAGCCGGGAGCTTTTGTGTGTGAGTACACTGGGCATGTGGTTGTTATGGATGATCAGCCAGGCAGTGCGCTGATGGAGGGTCGCAGCATCATCGATCCAAGGAGGTTTCCGGAGCGATGGAGGGAGTGGGGAGATGCCTCAGCTGTTGAACCAAACATGAAGAGACGCCAGTTTACCAAGTTGGCAGGGCCAGGTTATGTTCTTGACGTGTCACATAAGAGGAATGTGGCCTGCTACATTAGCCACAGCTGCACCCCTAATGTGTTTCTTCAGTTTGTATTGCGTGGCAATGAGGACGAGTCATTCCCTCACCTGATGGTTTTTGCCATGGAGACCATCCCACCCATGCGTGAGCTGAGCATCGATTATGGAATTGATGGGGAGATTATGGAATTGATGGGGAGTTGAGTGCAAGCTGATACTGGTTCTGAGGCATCAATGTGGCGAAGGCTTACTGGACTTTTTGGATGATAGTGTAGGCGAGGAATTTTTTTGGGATAATAACCATACATGATACATTGGTTTATTTTGCCCTAGTTTGCACCCTCTCAATAGTTAAATTCTAGACTTGAGAGTATCAAAAGGTGCTCACATTTCTGTTGTTGTCACTAATCCTTTCTTCAGTTATAGGGCTTACCTGCAAAAGGCATGCTAAATCTGTTTTACTAGTGTTGTGTTGATATGGTTAATGGCTGGCACAAAAAAGACTGTATGTTTAGCAACTGTGTATTGTGGATGTTTGTGAACTTACCCTGTGTTAGTTGCATGAATGAACAGCTGCTTTAAAACAGTCCTGTTTACTGGGACACCATGCCGTTTGAATGAGGTTGAGGAAGAGGTATATAGATTCCAGGTGTAGTCCTGACTCCTGAGGATAGGAAGTACATCCATCTGGAATGGTGGAGTTGCTGTTTAACTGGGGTTTTAGGTAGCTAACTTAGTGCAGTATGTTTTTTATATGCCTGGGGGATGAATTGGGATGGACACTTTTCTCTTGGTAATTTTTTTTTGGATTGGATTATTGAATGATATGAAAATGTAGCATTTGGCTGGGAATGTTTTTGTTCTTCAGTCTTGGTGTAGAGTTGTGGTTTCACATCACAGATGAGATGAATTTGAAACAGGCTTACTGGACTTTTTGGATGATAGTGTAGGCGAGGAATTTTTTCAGGATAATAATCATACATGATACATTGGTTTAGTTTTTCCCTAGTTTGCACCCTCTAAATTGTTAAATTCTAGACCTGAGAATATCAAAAGGTGCTCACATTTCTGCTGTTGTCACTAATCTTTTTGTTGTCGCCACTGCTTCAGTTATAGGGCTTACCTGCAAAAGGCATGCTAAATCTGTTTTACTAGTGTTTTTCTCTCCGTTCGGCTTACCTTAAAAGCTGGCTTGTTCGGCTTATTTTTTCAGCCGGAACAGTGTTTTTCTCTCACAACAATTCAGCTTTGGCTTGTTTTTTCAGCCAATTTCATCATATGGTTAGTGGTTGGCACAAAAAAGACTGTAATGTTTAGCAACTGTGTATTGTGGATGTTTGTGAACTTACCTGTGTTAGTTACATGAATGAACAGCTGCTTTGTTTTGGGATTTGTTTGCTTTGCGTAAAACCCTCAATCTGGACAATTCGCATGCATATTGAGTCATTTGTGAACAACTGACCATGAATCACTTGATTGGTTGTCCTGAGAGGGTTTGTAACCAGTCCTGTTCACTGGGACACCATACTGTCTGAATGATGCTGAGGAAGAGACTCCGGCTGTAGTCCTGACTCCTGACTCAATGACTCCTGAGAATGGGAAGTACTGTAAGACGTTTTGGCTTTTCTTGCTTTTCTAGATAAATAGTTTTTGGTATGAACTTGGATACACACTAGATAGATTCCGGGTGTAGTCCTGAGTCCTGAGTGACTCCTGAGGATAGGAAGTACTCCCTTCATTATAAATTATAAGACGCTTTAGCTTTTCTATAAATAGTTTTTGCTATGAACTTAGATATACACCATGTCTAGATACGTCGGAAAATCAATGTATCTAGAAAAGTCAAAATGTCTTATAATTTCGAACGGAGAGAGTACATTCATCTGGAACGGTGGAGTTATTGTTTAACTGAGGTTTTAGGTAGTTAACTTAGTGCGGTATATTTTTTAAAATGCCTGGAGGATGAGATGGGATGGACACTTTTCTCTTTGTATTTTTTGGATTGGATTATTGAACGTAATGAAAATGTAGCTTTGGCTGGGAATGTTTTTGTTCTTCAGTCTTGGTGTAGAGTTGTGGTTTCACATCACAGATGAGATGAGTTTGCACATATGATTGGTTGCTCCCTCCCCGCAATCCTCTGCTTGAATTGCAGCATACTATGCATGCACGGATGGAGCTCGTTGAGTGGCATATGCATTTTCGTTGAAGATGCATTCGTCTCCATTTCTTTTTTGATAAACATTCGTCTCCATTTCGTTTTGCAAGGCAAAGAGTCCTCAAAGGGTGGAGATGGACCGAAATTTATGCGGTGGCCCAGTAACATTAGTTTGTCTTAAAGGCCCAAGGCATGGCTCCTCCATCTCCACTCGATCCTCCTCCAGTCCTCCGTCTTATCACCGGTGAGACGAGACGAGCTCCGCCACCATGGCTTCCACCTGCCTCTCCCTTTGCTTGCACGCCTCCTCGCCCTCGTCCTCGTCTCCCGGACCCCGCCGATCCTCCCTCGCCTTCTCCTTGTCCTCCTCGTGCTCCAAGTCCAAGAGAACGCTCAAGGTCAGGGCCAAGGCGCTCAGGGAGGACTGGAGGCAGAAATCCAAGCCCATCCCTCCTGGCGCCGTCTACCCTGCCAAGGACCACTGCAGGTATGTGCTGTGCCGTGCTGTGCATTCCTTTGTTCGTTCGTGTGATTATGCGATGCGATGCTTACCTCTGTTCCTATTTCTGCTTTTGTGGCGACCCAAGCCATTGTGGGCTCTGCGACACATACTACGTTGCGCATGTCAAGACTGCCTGTGCCTTCCTGGGAGACGGCATGTCCCGTGTCGAGGTCACCTCCTTCATCTTAACATTACCTATAACAGCTCAAACAGTTTGCTAAATGGAAATGAAATAGCTCTGCTAATCGTTTGATCAAGCAATGGGCTGCACGCAATTGCTCCCTCCGTCCAAAATTGTACTTCAACTTTTCTAACTTTGATCAAGTTCATAGAAAGCATCTACAATATCAAAATAATTTCATTAAGTTCTCCATGAAATATGTCTTGATAGTGCATTTATTTGAACTTGTAGTTGTAGATGATAATATATATATTTTTATAAAAACTTAGGTCAAGTCAAGCAAAAGAAGTTTTGATTTGGAATAAAACTAAAGTGAACTATAATTTGGAACGGAGTTGAATAGTAATGCTTGACACAAATTGTACGCTTTGTTTCAGCAAAATAAAAGTGGGGAACTCCCCTTTTCCCTAAAGAAAAGTTGACACAAATTTACAGATACCAACACTCTCCTCACTATATTTAGGATCTTGAGCCACAAGTCCACGGGAGAGGCCGGAAGGAAGGCATGGATGAAATGTACTTTGGAGTCTATGATCAACTCTTGTATGCCAGGAAGACCGAACCTGTTCAAGGTAGCAACTTAACTTTTACAAGTTCTTATCCTTCAACAGCCGCCTGCATCCGTCTAAGGAAGCACGCATATGCAATATACCACAGTCTTGCTCACTGGCCTGTCTTAACAAACTGAAACCAAATACACCTCGAGTGTTGCATCTTATTTCCTGCACTATCTTGATATACTCGACAAACCTTTGTTAGACAAAACTGTACCTTGGCAACTTATGTTCTGTACCCTTTAACATATATGTGCCTTGCAACAGGAGCTCAGTGGACGGGAATAGTGACAACAATCGCAGTTGAGATGCTGAAAGCAAATATGGTCGATGCTGTGGTTTGTGTACAAAGGCACCCAAATAAGATTCAAATGCCACATAATTCTTTCTCAGTGCAATGCACAAGCATTACCACATGGATTCAAATAATGTTTTTTATCCCCTCTGCAGTGATCCTGACGACAGGCTTGCTCCAAGGCCGGTTTTGGCCAGGTATTGTGAAACTGATGGCTTTCAGAATTTTTCTTTATGGCTTGTGTATAACACTCCTTGACTGGATATACATTTGCAGTTCCAGACTTTCTGTAACTATTTTGAGCTTAAACTTTTGTTATTAGTCCATTCATGAATTAATCATGCTAATCATCATGTCCCTTGCTTTCTAGAATGGAAGTAACATTTAATCTCGGTAGCCATGCTCTTGTAGGACACCAGATGAAGTAATTGCAGCCAAAGGTGTGAAGCCAACATTATCACCAAATCTCAATACTCTTGCCTTAGTCGAGGTAAATCGTTCCTTTTAACGCTATACTTTCTTCCCAGTCCCCCTTATTTTCGATGCAAGCTATGGCACCATGCCTCCTTTCCCTTCCTATAAGTATAACATATAGAAGTGATAATGGGTCATGGCAGCAGATCTCTGAGAGAACATCAGCCGTCTTGTCATTAGTTTAGGGTTACTTGGCCCTGATATTTGTTCCCATTTCCCAGTTCAAGAGAATTAGAAGTAGTTCAACTATATTTGAATTTGTTGCTTGGGCAAGGGTAATTCTGTTAGCCTATTCAATCTGGAGCAGCCCCGTTTGACTCCACATTCCAGTGGGTTTCAAAGTCCATTCCAATCATCACTCTAACCATAATGAGACACATCCTATAGTGAAAGCATTATAGTGACCAATTTATAAATCCAGAGAGTTTCATGGTTTCCATTGGCAGGCAGCTGGTGTAAAGCGGCTTCTTTTCTGTGGTGTGGGCTGTCAAGTGCAAGGTGTTTTCCTTCACCTGGCCTTCTCTTTCTATTGGTGATGTTTTATCAAATATTCAAATGTCAAAGTTGTTAAAGTTATTGTTTGAACTACAGCTTTGAGATCTGTAGAAAAGTACCTTGGTTTGGAAAAGCTTTATGTGCTTGGCACAAACTGTGGTAATTTCCATTTCTCCTCTCAAACCAGTCAATCTTTACATTTTCTGTCATGGAAGATATATTGTAGCTCTCATATACTGTAATTTTTCTTAGTTGACAATGGTACACGTGAAGGGCTTGATAAATTCTTGAAAGCGGCAAGCAGTGAGCCAGAAACTGTTATGCATTATGAATTTATGCAAGACTACAAGGTATGACATTGAAAATAATTAGCTGCATACATTCTTTTCCCCATTTTGGTAGTTTCATGTATGGAAAATCAATAGGATAGGAATGCAGTTTACCTTTCCATATCAACAGCTCAAGAAGCAGTTTTAGGATCAACACAAGAACACATGGCATTCACGGAATTGCCATGCTTTTCCTTTAGAATTTTTTAATGTATGATTGCATTGTATAACTGAGAATATTTACAGGTGCACCTAAAGCATTTAGATGGGCACATTGAAGAGGTAAATATTTGTTTGCCTATAATTCTGAACCTTTGTGTCTTCCACAATGGACTATTTAATTCAGGGCCTAATTCGAAGCAGGTTCCCTATTTTTGCCTGCCAGCAAACGACCTGGTAGATGTTATTGCACCATCATGCTATAGGTATTATCTGTTCAGTATACCAATGGGTTATCATTTTCTTTTCCAAAATTTTTATGGGCCGTTCACAGGTGAGCTAATGATTTGCTTATACCAACTGCAGCTGCTTTGACTACACAAATGGCTTGGCGGTAAGGTTTCCATCATTTTGAATTTGAATAGAAACTGTCTTTCTGAGAATCATCTGGTTTTGTTAGACAGAAGTTGTTCCTCCTAGTGCTCATCTACAGAAATAGAATTTGTTGGATCACGTATTGTTTAGAAAAGCTAGAATAATACTGAAACACACTAGATTGGATCACTATGTGTTGCATGATGTGCGTTGCTCTCTTTATTATTAGGCACTAGCATAGCTGAACTAATTCTCTTGACCTTGAGTTGCCTCGGTGCTTCTTCAATCTCATGTTCAGAATATCATCTGTTCTGAGAGATTAGCTCTTTATTCTTTTACCTGTTACTTCTAATTAGCTGCTTTCCTCTGCTCTCTTGGAGCAGAGAAGCAGTTCAGATTCACTATGTTGTTTGGTTAAATCTCTGCAGGATTTGGTGGTGGGATATATGGGAGTACCAAAATATGCTGGAGTCTCCATGACACAGCATCCTCAGTACATTACAGTCAGGTAGAGCGAGTAGGATTGTGCAATTATATTGTAAGCAGTAGCTGGTGAGCATCACTGGAACTCTATCCCTTCAGGAACGATCGTGGATGGGAGATGCTCAGCCTGGTAGATGGCCTTCTGGAGAGCACACCTACTATTAGCAGTGTACGCATGTATCCCCAGCAATAGAACTGGCACAACATTCTTCGGAGGCATGCAGTGTAGTACTAGGAGACTGACAAGGGTGTTGTGTCTGTTTGTTTCAGGGCTCCAGGCAACCATTTGTTATGGAGACAGTGAAAGCTGACGATGCTGCAAAATTGGGTACCTCCCCTAATCATGCCTATTAAATACTAGTACTTTGCAGTGGTATAAAACTAGTAAGAATGATCTATTTGGCTCACATTCATGTAAATAAACGAATGAATCTACAGGGAAAGGCCCTTCGAAACCAGCTCCTAGATTTGTCGGCGACATTCTGGCCTTCCTGCTGAACCTGGTTAGTTCTTGGTCGTCTGCAGGGGAGGATGGCATGAGATTTGTAATGTTAACTGAACACGAATAAATAACCAGATTGTATTGTACGATATGCTGTTTCAGGTTGGACCCAAGGGTCTGGAGTTCGCACGCTACTCTCTGGATTATCACACCATTCGGAATTACCTGCACGTTAGGCGGGCATGGGGAAAACAGAGAGCTGAGCAGCACATCCCCGGGTATGCCAAGAAGATCGTGGAGGCCTACGACAAGGACGGACGGATCGAGGCAATGGTTACGCAGTCAACTGACTGACTCACCGAGTCACCATTCACACTCTACTAGCTAGTTGTATTTGCACTGCAAGAATGTAGCAGCATTATGTTTGTAATGTGACGTAGTGGTGATGTATACAGTAGAATGTATAGGTTGCCCGGCAGCAGCTCTGATCTGTACATGCTTGCCAATTTCTAGTTTGCATTTGCATGGAACCCAGCTGAGATATGTGAATTCCTGCTACCTTTTTTGAGCATGTCTTTTTGTTCGAAAGTATTTGTCTTGATGATAAAACAAAGATAAAAGAAGCCACAAAGTTCTCTCTCAAATGTTAGAAATCACCAAGTTAATTAGAGAAAAGGAGGAAAATCTAGATGGGCCCCACGTAACAGCTCTGAGACAGGGTTTGGTTGGAGAACGCTGGTAATCAAATGCAGGCATTGGTTCACTCCAGTAATAAAATTAGAATAAAACTTGACCAAGATTATTAGTGTTGATTGAGCACTACTTGTACTTTCCACATGTCATGTATGACAAGCTGAGTATTATGTTTTGACCGGGTAATCAGACAGATTTAGGTGTCTGATGAGGGTTAGCTAGTAAGATGCTAGTCTCATGTGCTTTACGACCATTCATTGGACGACTTAGCCAAATATGGAGAAGGTTGAGGTAATGAGTTTCCCCCAAGGACCGGCAGGTTGTATGGACGATATACCTGTTCTTGTATGGGAAAAGATATACACCTCTTGCAAGACGTTGCTTAATCCTTTCAAAATGTCACGCTCTCTGTTATGAACAAGCTCTTTGTTGCTTCTGTAATGTAGATTTACCGTGTTGATGAACTTGTGGAAGATCAAGCTCACCCCTCAAGTTATAGATGTCGTTGTTCATATTAAACCTAGAGTAGTTAAGATGAGTCCTATGCATTGGACTTCATGCACAACAGTTTTATGCAAACCGACTTGTTCAGCTTGCTATAGCTCAAATGCATATTCTTTTGTGTATTATGTTTGGTAAGCCATGAGGAGTACCCACGTACTCATGTTGCTTCCATTAAGTTGTGGTTGCAGGTGAACAAATGCTGGTCTATGGCCACTCTTTTTTTTTTAAACTTATGGCTACTTTTACACCCCCTTGAGCCCTCTTCTGACTGGGAGTAGAGTGTCATAATAATAACTAGTTGTGCTTGTGGGTGGTGGCATGGACCACAAGATGTAGTATCTAGAACCACCGTTGTGTGTGCTTGATGTTGAACTAAGTGTGTCAAACACTTTTTTTGCGAGACCCAATTACAGACATAGCCACTCACATACACGAGCGCACACTTACCCCTATGAACACACGCACGTATACATACCCCTATGAGCACCTCCGAAGAACTGAGTTGGACCAGCAAAATCTCGAGATTGATGAAGTCACCACAGGCGCCTCGCTGTCGACGGGTACGTCGCGTATCACTGAAAGAATAGCACCGTTAAATCCTGAAATAAATCCAGAAAAATGCGAGCACCCGGTCAAGTCGGGGACTTAAACCCGGGTGGGCAGGTTTTACCACACGAAACCCAACTAGATGAGCTACGCTCAGTTCGCAAGTGTGTGCAACACTTTGTTTGTAACTGAAACTACATTTTATGCATTATAATGAGAACTCTACATATATGTCGCATGCACATAGTGGATAACACCGGATGGTGTGTGTCGGTGTTTTCGAATCATCGACAAGTAAATTTGTATTTGCGCGTCTGACTCGGATGGTGTGTTGGGGGGACACAATGGTTTATACCGGTTCGGGCGGAACGTCCCTACGTCTAGTTCGCTGCTGCTCGTGTTATCGGCACTTGGTTTGCAGTAGGGGTTACAAACAGGCGAGAGAGGGAGAGGATCCCAAGTCTCTGGTGGAAGGAGTGAACGGGTGCTGAGAGCTCGCTTGCCGCTCAGCCATGTGCTCGTGTCGTGCTCTTGTGTTCAGATCCTCCCCGTCCATCCCTCCTCCATGGGGCACCATGCTTCCCCTTTTATAGACGAAGGGAAAGCGCGAGTTACAGAGGAGGAAAAGTAGAAGAACGAGAGAGAAGAAGGCTTTCAGGGTTGCCGGATCCTTCTTCTCCTTCATGCGGGTCCCATTGATCCTATAGATGTCAACAGGGACAGCTCCATGCCGCGGTCCTGTTCGTCACTGGCGCCATGCGCAGGCGTCATCTGCCGGTCATGGCGTTCCACTCCGTCCCAGCGGACGTCGTGGTGAATCGCCGCTACTCGTCGGTCCGTCACGAGATTAGGCGAAAAAGACCGCACGTCCGACACTGTTCTTGATGTGAATCCCCAGGTATGGCCCGTCATGGCCACGGGTTACATCGAGGCGTGCCAACCTCTTCCCTGGCGTAAGAGTTTTGACCCAGGCCCATAAGCTTGGACTTAGAGTGGTTGGCGGTGGTATGGGTCCCCGTCGGACGAGACGGAACCCGTGTCCTCGAGGTCGGGCGGGGCGGAGCCCGTGACCTTGGGCGAGACGGAAACCGCGTCCTTGGGGTCGGGCGAGACGGAGCCTGCACCCAAGGGGTCGAGCGAGACGGAGCCCACAGCCTCGAGGTCGGGCGAGACGGAGCCCGCGGCCTTGAGGTCAGACGAGACGGAGCCCACGTCCTTGGGGTCAGGTGAGACGGAGCCCGCACCTAAGGGGTTGGGTGGACGGAGCCCGCGGCCTCAAGGTCGGGCGAGACGGAGTCCGCGGCCTTGAGGTCAGGCGAGACAGAGCCCATGGCCTTGGGGTCGGATGAGACCTTTTAATACATCTCGAGCCATCCGGGAAAGTCAGCGTGGGCGCTAACTTCCTTGCTTTGGGTATCCCTAATATTGATACCCGATTGTGATTTCAGGGACAACCAGATTAATTAGGTTAAGTTGAGCTGGTATGCAAACATGTGGACTTTCCAATAGGCAAAGTTCTTTCCCTCGAACTTGGGAGCAGATCCCCATTCTTTGGCATTTTTTCTAGGTAGGCTAATCCTTTGAGCAATAGACTTTGGTACCAATTAAAAGGAGTTGAATGGCCCAAGGGGGTTGAATTAGGAATTAGTATTAAAAAAATTAAAGTGACAAACCTTAACCTAATATAATACTTGACCAAACTTCCCTTGCTAGCCTTAACAACTAACAAGACATGCTAAATTAAGTCATCATGGTCTGTCACACTAAACAATGTCCTTACCACGATCCATACTAGTGATAGAGTCCTTAATCTTGTAAGAAAGTAAACTCCTTAATCTATATCTATACTATAAAGGAGGAATTGTAAAATACTTTTTACTTTCAAAACATCCTACCCACTTAAGAGCTCCCTTGATATAAATCCTACATATGGGCCCAATGTAAAAGGAAGGCAAAAACACTTAGGAACACGCGTGTTTCGTCCTCTCAAACGTGGAGCGACGTCTCCCTCGGCATTTTTTGTTTCACCTAGAGCCAGCATACTCGCCCGTGTACCCACCCTCCCTTCCTTTTCTCTAGGGCATCGATTCACGCAAGAAAATAATATCTTTTATCGTCTCCGTCACATCCCCTTCTCTCCCCGACACTTCTTGTCTTCTCCACAACCTCCCCACCCCCAATCTGACCTCGGAGCGGTGCGGTGGACGGGCGCGGCCGCGGCCACCTCCCCATGATGCGCACTAGCGTGGCACAACGCACCGGCGCGAGCGGGCCCCATCGACGGCCGCTACCGCGGATGCCCTGCTGTTGCTGGTTCTGTCCGTCCGCTTGCCGATTTGGTACCCCTCCCCCCCTCTCCTTACCTCTCTCTATCAGATCTCCCTCTCCCAGCGCTCGTGGATGCTCGCTCTAACAGGGCTCTTGGTCCTCGCGGCCATAAGCCCCTGCTGCGGGAGCCCCCCATGGCAACCCCAACACGGGCATGCTCGGTCACGGCGGCCTAGGGATGGGCCATGGCGATGGATTCCTCCATGCGGCAACGGCGCTCCTTAGGCCCTTACCCCCTCCGATCCCCACCCACGGCGGCACCCCCTCTCCTTCAGCATCACGTCCAGCGGCGGCGGCGATTTCGGTTTGGATAGCTATGGTCTCACCCATCTCGCCCTCATTTCAGCTTTCCTCTTTTTCTCGCTATTCGCTTGTGTTGTTCGACGCTGGTTTGATGAATTTTGTGGCCTCTGGATTGATGCAGATGAGGAGACACAAGTTCCGCATGGAGGAAGCCATTGCCGTGGCCCATCCCTAGGCCACCGCGGCCGGGCATGCCCGTGTTGGGGTTGCCATGGGGCGCCAGCAATGGCTTATGGCCACGAGGACCAAGAGCCCTGTCAGAGCGAGCATCCACGAAGCACTGGGAGAGGGAGATCTGATAGAAAGAGGTAAGGAGAGAGAGGGGGAGGGGTACCAAACCGGTGAGCGGACGGCCGGACTAGGCGGCGCCGGCGGGGCATCCACAACGGCGGCCGTCGGTGGGGCCTTCTCGCGCCGGTGCACCATGGCCCCGCTAGTGCGTATAATAGGGAGGAGGCCGCGGTCGCACCCGTCCACCGTGCCGTGCCGAGGTCGGATTGGGGAGGGAAGGCCGCGGAGGGGATGAGAAGCGTCGGGAGAGGAGGGGAGTGGATGATGGTTTTTTTCTTTGAGGCGACGGATACGACATATGATATTATTTTCTTGAATGAATCAACGCACCTGGGAGAAAAGGAAAGGAGGGTGGGTATGCGGGTGGGTATGCTGGCTCTGGGTGAATAAAAGTGCCGAGGGAGACGTCGCTCCACATTTGACCGCCTTCCTTTTACGTTGGGCCCATATATAGGATTTATATCAAGGGAGGAGATCTTAAGTGGGTAGGATGTTTTCAAGGTAACAGGTATTTTATAATTATTACTTCGTTCCTTTAGACAGCCTGTTCGCTTGTTGGTTTCAGCCAGCCCAAACCAGCCAGCCAACAGTGTATTTCTCTCACGATAAACTAGCACCAGCCAGCCCAAACCAGCCCAGCGAACAAGCCGAGAGTATAGATTTGTGTCCAAGGCATCTTTAAGATGTCA